GCAGGGACTCATGTGATAATCCAAGTGGAACACGGTGGTGACTCAGGCCAGAGTGGCGGCAGCAGAAGCTTCCATGTGCACTGTGGGAGTCAGAACTGGCCTGATTTGCAGGTGGCAGAACATGGCAGAGAGAGAAAGCTCTGCTCCTGGTGGCAACATGACTTCTATTCTATAAAAACTCAAGACATAGGAGATAAACTGCCCACATTAAGGCCGTGGAGTCAGAAGAGAAGCATGACCCGACTCAGGACCCGTGTGGTCTCAGAGGTCATCCTGTTTGCCACACCGCTCTAGGGTGTGGCACTCTATGATGTTGTTGTTTTTAAGATTTATTTCTTTTTATCGGAAAGGCAGATTTACAGAGAGGAGAGAGAGAAACATCTTCCACCTGCTGTTTTACTCCCCACATGGCCACCACAGCCAGAGCTGAGCCAACCTGGAGTCAGGAACCAAGAGCTTCTTCCCGGTTTCCCGCTTGCTTCAAGGTTTTGTGCTTGCATGCCAGTTGAGGGCCTCACCTTCACAGCCTCTAAGCACTCTAAGAGAACTATTCTACAGGTCAAATTGTCCCGCCCCAATGCTGTGGCTTCCACGCATAAAATCAAGCTGGCTAGACTGCATCACCAGGGTCAGCTCAGCGACTCCATTAGTGCTATGCCCTTGCTCCCCTTCACAAGAAACACTAGACTCAAAGTCATACACATGGACGTGGCCAAGCACGTGACCCTGGCCACAACAGGTTTCTCCAGTTACCAGGGACTGCCTACCATCTGAGAGAATGGTTTTCCTCCATCATGGAGGTTACCAAACAATTGCTCCTGATTCCTTAAAGAGATAAGCATAACAAGGTCATCACGCCAGCATGGAGAAAACTTCAGCGTAGGTGTCCAAGTGTGATAAGGTTCCTCTTCTGCCCTGCCATTCAGCAGTCACAAACACGACACCGAGACAGAAGAACGCCTTCCCTCCGCCTAGTGGCACACGCAAGGCTTCCCGTAATCCAGCTGCCAGTAACAACTTGTTTTGATTCCTGTGAAAAAAAAAACTTGAGCCTGTGAGAAAATCTCTCCCCAGATACCAAAAAGACTTAGGTGCAGAGTTTGAAGGAGACAAATGAGAATCCAGCTCAAAACGCTGGTGTTTGTTAGAAGGCTACTTTTTACATAAAAAAAAGAAAAAAGCCTGTTCTCTTGAAAGGAGAGTCCTTGCTGCTTTCACACCTGTGAACAAGTAGTCATCTTCTCTCACCCAATGGTGGTAGATGGTAACTCTACTTCCCAGTAGTCCTCCCCTCTTTGTTTCTCTCTCAGGCTTCTGGACAAACTGTGCTACACGCAGCGAAGGAAAACTAAAAAACAAAACGAGAAGAAGTTACGATAAATACTTCTGTCACTTGTAAAATTTAAGTACCTCAGTAAGTACCACTGTTTCCGCCACTAACACTTTCCAGTAACTGAAGCTGAAATGTTTTCCAGTAGCACTTCGTATGCATTGAACTTTGATTCACAAGTCCTTCCTCTGGGGGACTTTCTGGCTGAGGAGCCAGTCATGCCAGTGTGATGTGCAGGTGCTTCTCAGAAGAGATGTGCAAATACAAAACCATCGATAACCAAGACAGTCCTTTTCAGAAATGAACATAACGGTGTGAATATTATTTGTTTCCCTAAACTCATGGAGAGATGTAATACCCAAAGTCCTCTTCAATGATATGAAATACATAGAACCTTAATCTGACTGTGGCATTCAGGGATTGGGTCTCGGTGGCATTGTAAAGAGGATGGGGAGAGAGAGAGAACTGCATAGGCAGGCATACACACATGCCCCCTCTCCTGCCATGTGATTCCCTGTGCCACGTTGGGACTCTACCAGCCAGAAAGGACAAAACACCTAGACCTTGCACCTCTGAAACCATGGTTCAAAAAATGAACTTTTCCTCTTGATACAACTAGCCCGTCCTATGCATTGCGCTATAGTGGCAGCCAAATAAAGCTAATATCAATGATCTTCCAAAAGATTCTTGAAAATTTGTGAAAAAAAAAATAAGCATGAATCTTAAAAATAAGATCCATAAGCTGACTGATAACTCGTACCGTGTCTGAACAGATCAAGTGCAGGGAAAAACATCAGTATGGAAAGAGTCCATATAGGAGCAAAACAAATTCTGCTAAAATTGAGGTAAAAACACACTCAAATTTATAGTGAAGCTTGGCAGTGAAATCATTTATTCTTTCTGAAAAAAAAAAGTTACAGGGACAATATCGCAGAGAAATCATTATTTACAATGCTAGTTTTTACTTTAAAGTTATTGTTTAAGTATCTTTTCATTTGAAAGGAAGAGGGACAGAGAAGGTGTGAGAGGGGATTCTTTCACACTGTGCTTCATGCTCCAAATGCCTGCAACAGCCGGGTCTAGGCCAGAAATTCTATTGCATCTCCAGTACAGGTCATAGGCACCCAAGTACCTGGGCTGCAACCTGCTGTCCTTGAGGTCCATTAGGAAACTAAACTGAAGGTGGAAATGTGGGTCCAGCACCATGACTCAACAGGCCCATCGTGCATCTACAAACACCAGCATCCAATATGGATACCGGTTCATGTTCCAGCTGCTCCACTTCCCATCCAGCTCCCTGCTTGTGTCCTGGGAAAGCAGTCAAGGACGGCCCAAAGCCTTGAAACCCTGCACCCGCATGGGAGACCCAGAAGAAGCTCTTGGTTCCTAGCTTCAGATCAGCTCAGTTGTAGCCATAGAGGTCATCTGGGAAGAGAAACAGCGGATGGAAGATCTTTCTGCCTCTCCTTCTCTCTGTACATCTGCCTTTCTAACAAAATAAATAAATAGATTTTTTTTTAATGTTTTAATTTTTTTTCAAAATGGAAATGGTACTTCACCCCCTGGTACTCTGATGTAGAAGTGGGTGTGTCAAGCAGTGTTTTCCTACCACACCTACTCCAGAGAACTTGCTTTCCGAAGGGTTGAGGCAATGCCCTTCCCAGTGGGCCATCCATGAGCATTTATACGGAAAACAATTCATCCTTTCCATGCCCTAACTGGAGACAGAAGGCGATGAGCAGCAGAAGCAATAGCCCACACCACAGACCTCTCCAACAATTTTGATTGGAAAATCAAAGTGCAGGGATCCTTCTGCCGCCTAGGGTGCCAATCTCTCCGCACCCCAGTCATCTGCAGACAAGACCGGTTTTCCATGGGCATTTTTTTTAAACAAGTAGATTCAAGATCCCCAAGCATTTCCTAAAGTTATCAGTGCAGGAAACAAAACCCAGACCGGTGCTATCCTGAAATGCAACCAAGGCCATAGAGTTACCAGAGGCAGACTCGCCCAGGCAAAGCAAGATCTGAGGGGGTCAGGAGCCAAAGCTGGGGCAGCAACATTTGAGGGCACTTGAGGCATTTTGCTCTTGACTTTCAGAAGGTCAGAGAAAAACCAGATCTGCTCACTGTTGGGAGAAAGTGAACATACGTGAGCTGGGGAATTGCCCGGGGAAGCTGTGGGGAGACCCTCTCCTCACCAACAGCGCTCCTGTTCACTCCTCAAACAAGGGCGATTTCCAAGAGTTTTGATCTGATCTGGCCCCTTCTGATGGCTTCTGGTTTCCTAATTATAACAGCTACTTAAAGGACACCCTAGGGAAAAGGTTGTACAGGCCTAGTGACACTCCCAGAATCTGCAGTGCCCCATGGATGGACCAAGGAGTTGGTGCCATCACTGTTTTGAATATCATGGGGCTTGGACTACAAAACAAAGCTTAGAATTTTTGTCTTGTAATTACTTTTGCCCACAGACTTTCTGAAGTCCCCCTGTGTAGTCATAACTCTGATGTATTTCACTTTTATTTCTTTTTTTCTTTTTCAGTTCGATTAGTATGAACCCTCACTAAAATTCTCTGACATAACAGTATTCTCCGTTAAGAGTCAAGGTCTCTTTCCTTGTTTTCAAATTTCCTGTCACCAAAGTTGGAAAACAAAAGGGGCCTCCATCTTTCCAAAACAAAGGGCTTCAAGATTTTTCTTTTCTTTTTTTTTTTTCTTTTTTTCTTGGCTCTTTTAGTGGCAAAGCCTCAGAGACCCCTGAGGTTCAACTGTTAAGAACAGTAGTTTCCAAGGGAGGAATAGCTTGCAATGAAAGTGAAGGGTAACCAACATCACAATTTATTGCCCCCCCAAACAACCTTCCCAACTCAAAGGAAAATCATAATCTTGGGTGGGAAAGACACTCCCAGCCAAGTGGCTGTGAAAGGGTCATTTACAAGGCATTCTCTCTTCCTTCCTGGCTTAGCACTCACCAACACAGGTTTTGTGTACTCAGAAGCAAAGTTCAAAGGGGAAGAATGGAGAGAAAAGATCTACGTGGGAAGTGTACCCTTTTTCACTAGGTTTTATCCCTGAAAGTCACAACATTAGGAACCTTTGGAAACTTCCCCATTAGAAAAACAAACTTGCCCCAAGATAAAGACAGCACTTTCCCCCCACCCCTTCTAATTAGTTTCCTATCTAGTGACATCTCCTGGTCACTGTTTATAGCTTCCAGAAAGATAGAACTGGGCAAAGGGGAACAATGCTAATACAATTTTAACTCAGAGAACGACCTGGACCTAACCTTGCCAAAGATAGGCGACAGAGAGTCTTAAATTCTTGGATCTTGAGAGAGCTGTCAAACATTAAAGCTAAAACAACACTGTGAGATAAGCAGGCGTCTGAGCGTGCCCTTGCCCAATACTGCCAGCAAGAGAGGCTCAAGAAAGAAATTATAGGAAGCTTTGGGAGTGACAAACAGTGAGAGAAGGAAAAGGAGCCGAAGGAAGGAGAAAGAAGTCAGATAGCCGGAGTGTCTCGGAGGAACCATCTAAAAACGGATCCAACCTGCCGGGGCAGCTTCCTAAAGTCCTCGGGCAGCCCTTTCCCAGAAAGCAGGAGATCAGGAACCCACTGAGCCTGTTCCCAAACCTGGGAAGCTTCTTCACGTGTTTCTGTCTTTGCTCTTGTCATCAGAACAGATGCCCCAAGACATGCACGATCTAAGTAAATAGACTGGAAATTAGGCCATTCAAGGATGGTTAAGGAAATGGCTGTGTCTGTATGGAGAAGCAGATGTGGTCTCCAGGTTTTGTGTGTGTGTGTGTTGTTTTGTTTGTCTGTTTTTCAGGGAGACACAAATGCATTCACGTGGAATAGAGCAAGTATGGAATTTGAAGTCAAAGCCCATCTGGCTTTCAGCAAGTGGATTCAACTCTGAGCCTTCTTTGGTCAAGGAGGCTGCAATGGCCATAATGGAAGGCTCACTGTGGATACAACAGGTGTAAGCATACAGGTGCCCTACACTTGGCCACCACCAACCTGGCACTCAATCCATAGGGGTCCCTGAAGGGCTCCAATCCAGAGTTAGCTGCTTTCAGTGCAAACACATGTCTGTGTGGTGCCTACAGGACTAAGAGCTACTTGGTTCTCTTGACTGGGCTAAGGCTGTGAATAAGAAACAAATGGAGGGAAGGAACTAAACTGCATCCTATCAAGAGGACCCAGTTCACGGCAGACATGGAGGGAACGAGGACTACATGCCAGCCACGTGCCTGGGGCTGTATAACAGGGCTCTAAGTTACCTGGTAGCTTTTGGATTTCAAGGAGGTAAGGAATAATGTTTTCTGTAAGTATGTTCTGCAAAACGAATGAGCACACTTGTACCGGAACTTGTACGTGCTGCTTGTCTGACATTGAAACATGAATGGTCCCCTGTATCTTTATTGGCTCAATCTGGCAATGCTACGCATCTGCCGCTTTAGTTCACAAAAAAGAAATGCACAATGAGACCCACAAAATGTCTTGAAAGGTCAGAGGAGAGAGATTCGGGGAGACCATCGATCACTTTACGTAACCACAATGATTCCAGAATATTCCCAGAAATTCCAGAATATTCTCCTGCCCATTCGCAGAGAGGACCTAGGGCTGGGGAAGAGGCTGTTGAAAAGAACACAAATATCAACATCTTCACAAAATTCATGGGAGATGCAAATGATTAAAAGAAAAAAGCTGTGCATGGATTCCCCCCCCAAAAAAAGATATTTGCACAAAAACAAATTTATATTTTAATTCCATTTGCCATGACTTTTTGACATGTGCTTATCAAGGGGGGGGGGGAGGACAGAGACAGGTTGGGGTTGAAGAGGGCAGGGAAGATAGGAGGGAAAAGAAAAGGACAGAGATGTGTAGGACAGCAGGGTGGAAGGGAGCAGGCATCCAGACATCAAACCCGCCTCAGCTTGCTTCAAAAGATGACCCAAGCATGAGACTCGCCCTGGACTATCTGCTGATATTTCTTAATATGATATTAACCCACTTAAACAGCAGAAGACACTGGGACCTCCTTTCTACCGGTTGACACCCCCCAATGTTCACAACAGCTGCAGTTGTACAAAGCCAGGAACTTAGAACCCCAACTACATTTCTCACGTGGATGGCAGGGACCCGAGACTTCAGCCATCCATCACCTACTCCATCCTGAGGTGCACATTAGCAGGGAGCTGGCTTCAGGAATGAAGCCATGGCTTGAACCCAAGCACTGATATGGGATACAGGAGACCCAAGCAGGGTATCATCCACTTTGCCACCCCCTAGAGTCTTACAGCGTTAAGAGATGTTGAGACTCATACCCTGCCTCCAGGTGCCAAGGGGCAGTCTGCTTTCCACCTCTCCTTTCCAGGACACAGGGAAGTTGAGGAGTGAGGTCTTATGATCATTGCTGCATCGTTAAGCTTCTCAGGGGGGCTGGGACACCACTCAAGTCCCACAATCAGGGGCCAGGCTTTCAGGACAAGGACAATTGCTTTTCTCCAGGCACCTAAAGCATTGACACAATGGCTAGGTCTCCCCACCACCACCACCACCTGCTGGGGTGTTGGGGCTGCTCCTCTTGTCCTGGCACCTGTCAGCAGCGTTTTCCCCTTCCCCACAGGGTTCTACTCTGCCTGCTCAGCAGGAGAGAGCGTGACAAGGGACAGAGTGACCTTCCCCAGGAGTCCATGGTCATGGGTTAGATGCACATGCAGTAAAAGCCCTCGAAACCTTCAAGGAACTAAGTGCAAATGAATACAAGGTGGACCAAGCACGCGAGAAGACACGCAGCCTTCAGTCCCTCCAGGCCCCAGGGAGTGTTCAGCCATTTATGACAGCTCCAGACTTTCCCCAGTCAATAAACAGAAACAGAAACCAGACCCAGGGCTTCATGGCACAAAGTAAGCCCATGGCCTCAGCGGAGGCAAAACAGTAGTTTGTTAGCCACGTGAATTAAACACCAACCCTTGAATTTCCTCTTTCCTGCTGTGGGGAAGGCATAGCTGATGAAGCCCATTCCATTAGCCATGACCCACACACATCATGGAGCGGAAAAACACAAGTTTGAAAGTCAAAGGAAGAATGTATGGGAGGAAATTGCAAGGTCAAAGTGACTGCCTGGGGAAGTCTGATTACCTAACATGTTTAAAGCATTATTAGCCAGCCTGGAAGAAGCAGGCATAGAACAACGAGAGGGGGAGGGCGCACAGAGCTGTGGCAGAAGAAGGGGCTGTAAACCTGAGAGGCCCTCCTGGAGTTTCGCTGACATGTCTGTACACTCCAGGGTGCAAGTTAAGAGGGGGCAGCAGGGGGGAAGGCATCAGCTGGCCAAATACAAAAGGGAAAGAGTGTGTGCAGAGGTTAATTGTGGCCGTCAGAGATGAGTGGTTACATGGGGAGATTCATTTAAAATTAACGAGGCGTTGGTTGCATTTTATAGGTCTCCCTATGTAGGAAGACCATAAGCCACTGGGGGCAGAATTGGAAGGGCTTCTCAGAAACTTTTCCTGACCAGCCCTTCAAATCAGACAGGCAGACCCTGGGTTTCTACCATCAAGAAGCGTGGAGGTGCTTGACTGCCACAAGCCAAAGGGCAGGGGGTGGGGGGGCTCCAGGCCATATTTCAACCGTTTAGGGTCTCCCCAGAAAAAGGGCACAGCAGCGATCCTGAGGGTCTGCCCGCTTGAACCTGGAGGCTGGCTGAGCCACTTGCCCTTCCCTAAGATCACACTGAAAGAAGGACCTCAGTGGCTAAACCAGGCTTTGTGACAACAGCCAACCACAGGATGCACATACACAGGAGTTGCTGCAGGTTCCTTGGCCTTGGGACAGTGTGGCCATCTTGGTTCGTTGTGCATGTTCTCGATAAAGTTTACACAAGGATGGCTCTGTCTAATGGTGCCTGTCCCAGAGCAAGTCCCTGCGGGGCAGTGACAACACACCACTGGGCTGGGGTTGAACTCCTTCTCAGATTGGCCACCCTCACATATAGAAATGGGGCACCACTCTCCTTGAAAGTGCCCGTAACAGCTTGACTCACATGCTTCTAGAATCTGACTTGGGAGGGAGGTGGAGCAGACCAACTTCTTGGGGTCTTTGTCAGGATGATCATAAATGAACAAACTTAGCTCAGCAGTTGCCAACTATGGGAAGGCTCTGGGAGTGTGCCCACACACTGGTCCTTTTTGTGCTTTGTGTTCATACACCTATTATCTCTTTTGTTGTGTGTGTGTGTTTAACTACTATTAGACTTAGGGGTAAGAACTTTGTCTCATAACTTTCAAAGTAGATTCGTTTATTTATTTGGAAGGCAGAGTGACAGAGGAGAGAGACATAGATATCTTCTGTCCTGTGACTCACTTCCCAAATGCTTACAAGAGCCATATCTTGGCCAGGCCAAAGTTAGAAACACCAGGAGCTCCGTGCAGGTCTCCCAGACAGGAGGAAGGGCCCACATGCCCGGTCCATCTTCTATAAGCTTTACAGGTGCATTGGTGTGGAGCTGTGTCAGAAGTTAAGGAACCTGGGCCCGGCGCGGTGGCGCAAGTGGTTAAGTCCTCGCCTTGCACGCCCGGGATCCCATATGGGCGCCGGTTCTAATCCCGGCAGCCCCGCTTCCCTTCCAGCTCCCTGCTTGTGGCCTGGGAAAGCAGTCGAGGACGGCCCAAAGCTTTGGGACCCTGCACCCACGTGGGAGACCCGGAAGAGGCTCCTGGCTTCGGATCGGCGTAGTATCGACCCGTTGCGCTCACTTGGGGAGTGAATCATCGGATGGAAGATCTTCCTCTCTGTCTCTCCTCTCTGTATATCCGCCTTTCCAATAACAAAATAATAAAAATAAATCTTTAAAAAAAAAAGAAGTTAAGGAACCTGCACTCAAGCTGAAGCCCTTGATTATGGGATGCAAATGTTTCAAGAAGTAGCTTAGCCTGATGCACCATAACATCAACCCTAAACTGCTCTACCTCCCCCAAACCCAGCAGGACAAAAGCTCCATCAAGTTCCTCCTAACGTTGATCAACAAGACAGGGTGAGTCTCTCGCTGTGGCAACTACATGGAGATGCACCAAGAAGAGAGAACTCAGGAAGCAGGTTATAGCCATGTCTCATAGCTACAAGCTAAGAAGATATGTGGGTCTTGATGACAGGCCCACCAGTCCAGCTGTATTCTCCAGACAAGTGGATCATACAGTTGCACTTCCTGGGCAAGGGGGGTAGGGGGTGAGGGATAAGTGAAGAGCAGCTGCTGGAATAAAAAGAACCACATGCCCATTTCTTAGGGTATCAAAGTTGCCCAATGCCAACAAGTAGAGGCTCATGAGAGCATCAGGAATCAGGCATCACAAATAACTATGATCTCAAGCTACACCCAAATGTCTTGCTCTTCATACCAAGATGTCCAAGATCAGTCGATTGCTCATCAGAGCTACCCAGCAAAGAAATTTGAAATAATGCAGGATGAGCAGTGTCTGGGGTTGAGTCCTGCCCCCTTTTGCCACGTTAGAGAAATAAGCTACAGGAGATAGACATTTGCAAAGCAGTAAACACAGCCCACTTCCCCTATCAGAGAGGCTAGAGTCCTTGCTCTGCTCCTGATCCCCAGCCTCCTGCGGAAGTGTACCCTAAGTATTTGGATCACCCCACCCATGTGGGAGAGAACTGGATTGAGTTCCTGGCTCCAGGCTTTGGTCTGGGCCCAACCATGGAGTGAACCACCAGGTAGAAGTTCCCTTTTTCTCTACCTTGTTATGGGGTGTAGCCATTGATGGCTTGCACCTGCTTGGCAACGGACAGGATGCGCGGAAACAGGGTTTCCGAACTCTGCCCTTATTACCTCCTCTGGTACAATTCAAGTTAATTGAAGGCACAAAAAGGGCATCCCACCCCTCCTGCCTTCTGCACCATTCAGAACAATTGATAGCTCTGAAATTACTCCAGAGGCTCTGCTCACCTGTCCCCTCCTGCGTCCTGTTGTACTAGATTCGGTGAACTACAAGAGAACTTTGGGCTCTGGTAACTCCCTTCCTACCTCCTGCACAAGGAAGATTTGTATTGTGTGGCTCTCCATCTGTTTTGAGGATGAGAGCTTAACAACCTGTGACTTGGGTGGCTCCGCACAGTGGCTCCTGGAGTGTAGCAAGAGCTGCTGTGTAGCCAAGCTTGGGGGAAAAAAAAAAAAAAGACTCCTCTTAACATCCTACACTTGGGTCTGGGGTGTGATCTCTTCTCGCACTCCACAACAATCTCTTTCAAATAAATAAAAATAATAAAATAAGCAAGGGTAAGCATTATGGTACAGTGGGTTAGGCTGCTGTCTGAGTGTCTAAGTTTGAGTTGTGCCAGTGTTTCTGATCCAGCTCTTTGCGGATTCACACTCCTGGAAAGCAGCCACAACAGCTGAAGTAATTTGGGCCCTTTCCACCCATGTGGGAGACCAGATGGAGCTCTCGCCTCCTGGCTTTGGTCTGACCCAGCCCTGATTGTCATGGACATTTGGGGGAGTTCACTAGCAGATGAAAGATAGCGCCTGAACCCCTCCCCACCATCTTTCAAATAAATGAAAATTTAACAATAAAGTTTAAAATAAACTTTTTTAAAAAAAGAATAACCTGCAGAATACTCAGGTAATACACACAGTGACAGTAGAATGTATCAGTGAATCCAACAGATAAGCAGGATTCCCAGCAGTGATCTGCAGGTGTAGGGGGCTCAGCTGTGACTACAGAAGAACAGCCCTTCTCCCCAGAGCTTGCTTTGGGATTTCAAACACAAGCCTCGTGGCCAAAACGCCCTCTTTCTCTGCATTCAACCTGTCTTTCTCACCCACAGAGGAACACACCTACCTCGTGCCTCTAATGTAAGGAATCAACATCTTCTATTCTCCATCAGCTGAAGACTGGATAAAGAAAATGTGGTGTATACACACAACGGGGTATTACTTACCCATACAAAGGCATGGAATCCTGACAAGTGCAACAAAAGGGATGCAACTGAAGAGCATAATGCTAAGTGGAATAAATCAGACCCAGAAAGACAAATAGCGCATTTTCTCTTTATTTGTGGAATTTAATTATATACATAGAGCGAGCATTAAAAGTCTCTGGATTTCATATGACCTGGTGTACAGTTATAAATATTGCTTCATTGAATTATCCCATGTGCGATGACAGTGTGTCCTTTATTGATTTGATGATCATTATCATGTTTTATGACATTTCTGGTTCAAACAAAAGCAGTTATGCATGTGTATGTCTATAATGACTTGGAAAGAATGTAGCAAGATGTTGCAAATTGTGAAACCAAAAAGATAAGTTTCCCTTAAAAATAGCAAGTTTTTTTTTAAAGAATGTCTGCTGTTTATTTTATTTTATAAGGCCTGATAAAAACCAGGCCCTTGGTAGGTATTTCAGGCTGCATGTCCAAAAGGGAAGTGAGTTCTGGGTAGGATAAGCAATTTAGGGTCATCTTTCTGAGTGGAAGCAGAAAGGGTACCCAAATTAAGGCCACATAGAAAGTGGCTTTATCTGCCCTCTCCAAAGTTGGGGAACCATTCAGGCTTTGTCTCAGATCAGCTTCTCTTCTGAGGGAACACCTGAAGGCAGTAGGAATGAGTGTAATATGCCCAGCTGGGGCAGAAAAGCACTGAGCTAGACAGGCCCTGCATGGTGGAGCAAGGAGAAGAGAGGGGAGCCTGTGAGAATGCCAGACATGGCACTAGGGCAGCAGGGGGCACCAACATGGGCCAAAATGTCCCTCCCTTTAGGCTTAGGGGAGGGACCAGGCTTGAACTGCTAGTAGACCCCAGGGTAATCCGTTGACCTGGATGCCAGGCCCCGGTGGTATATTCTAGTTAAGAAAACACATGTGCTTGTTGGCAA